TGGAGGAGAGGGTGCAGGCAGTCCAGCCCAGCTCCCAGCCCGCCACTGGGCTGCCGGACACCGACACTGAAGACTGCAAGAGATGACACCCCGGGGCACGTGGGCACCTGGCTATGGGAGCATCTGACCCCCTCCCCATGGCAAGGTCAGAGACCCCCCTTCTCTTCCTCCCAGTCCCTTCAGCAGCGGAGCCACCAGTGCTGCCCTGGGCACGTGGCCCCATCCAGAGATGTGGAGGATGCTCACCCTTCCCCACCAGCTGCCCACAGAGCCTGGGGGGGCGGGGCTGGCTCCCTCCTCCCCCATCCCCATCCCTCAGGATATGGGTCTCAGCCTGGTGCCTGCCCTGCTCACGAGGAGCCACGTCCTCGCTGCCTTCCCCTGAGCACACCCGGGCACCGTCCAGCAAATCTCCTTTCTGCTGGGCTGTCCGTACAGCAGGGATGCAGAGGGATGCAGAGGGTCCCTGGGGACCGGGGCAGGCAGCCCAGCACCACCGGGCCTGGGTCTCCTCCTGGCTGCAGCATGGGATCGTGCCGCAGCCCTGCGGAGCTCCCTGCCCGCCTGCAGAAGGAGGCAGGGGCCAAACGCGCGTCCCCACTGCATCCCTGCCATCCCCATCCCCATCCCCAGGGTTGCTCTCCTGAAGGGCTGGGCTGAAGGAGGGGTGAGGAGACACGGGGACATGAGGTGGAGAAAGGCCGTGGCCAGAGCGAGTGGCTGGCCAGGGATCCTGGGAGTGCCCGAGCGGGCTGGCACGTCCCAGCCGCTGGCATCGGCTGTTTCAGGGTGGGCTGGGGCCCTGCCCATCTGGATGCCCATCTCAAAGGTCCTGCGAGGGCCAGGCTCTTGCCTCAGCCCTGTGCTGGCTGTGGGTGCTCAGGACCCCCGATTTGTTGCCTTGTCCCCAGAGGTCCCCCAGCAGCATCCCTGGGCTGAGCTGCCTGGTGCCGGCTCCCCTGCACGCCTGCAGCACAGCCTGCACTGCTGCCTGCCCCGGCACGGGGGGCTCAGCCCCCGTGATGTCCCTCCCAGGCTCGGGACAAGCTCTGCAGGTGCTTTTCGGCGTTGTCCCCTCCCCGGCGAGCATCTCCGTGCTCTGC